GCAGCCCCTGAGCCTGCTGCTGCAGCCCCTGAGCCTGCTGCTGCCCCTGAGCCTGCTGCTGCAGCCCCTGAGCCTGCTGCTGCTGCCCCTGAGCCCGCTGCAGCCCCTGAGCCTGCTGCTGCAGCTCCTGAGCCCCATGCAGCCCCTGAGCCTGCAGCCCCTGAGCCTGCTGCTGCAGCCCCTGAGCCTGCTGCAGCCCCTGAGCCTGCTGCAGCCCCTGAGCCTGCCGCTGCAGCCCCTGAGCCCCCTGCAGCCCCTGAGCCTGCCGCTGCAGCCCCTGAGCCCCCTGCAGCCCCTGAGCCTGCTGCAGCCCCTGAGCCTGCCTGGAGCCCCATGCAGCTCAGGAGCCTGCCTGGAGCCCCTGAGCCCGCTGCTGCCCCTGAGCCTGCTGCTGCCCCTGAGCCTGCTGCAGCCCCTGAGCCTGCCTGGAGCCCCATGCAGCTCAGGAGCCTGCATGGTGCAGCTTCTCCCTGTTCCGCCGAAGGGCATTGTCTGATTGCTTCGCTTGCACAGGTCCCTCTGAGGTCGCTTTGGTGTCACAGTGCTCACTGATAGGAATAGGAGTAGAAGGGGTGCTGGGCAAGGGTACACTCCCTGCTCCATCTGTGTGTGTGTGTTTACATGTGTGTGTATGTGTGTGGTGTTCAGAGGAAGACACCTGGTGTCTTTATTATTCTCCACTTTATTTTCTTGAGACAGGTAGGGTGTCTCACTGAACCTAGAACTTGACAATTCAGTTGGGCGACCAAAGAGCCACCTGTCTCTGCCTCCTAAATTCTGGGATTACAGGCATAGGGGGCTATACATAAGGTTTTTTTTTTTCTTTTTCTTTCTTACATTCATGCTAGGAACCTGAACTCAGGTCCTCATGCCCAGCAAGAACCTTACTGACTAGACATCTCACCCTCTCCTGCTCCATTGGAGGAAGTGTACCTAATGACTTTGAAGAGATCTGTGCTCTGACTGAAGACCACTCCTGACACCTGCTAGGCAATGTCCGCTGGTAATTGATCCCTCCCTCCCTCCTTGAAACAGGGCTTCGGGTGGCCAGGTTCTTCTCAATCTTCCTATGTGGCCGAGGATGACTTTGAACTATTGTTCTTGTCTCCACCTCCCAAATTCCGGGATGACAGGTGTGTGCTACCAAAGTTGGTTTATGTGGTGCTGGGGATGGAACCCAGGGATTCCTGCGTGGTAGACAGGTACTCTACCCACTGAGCCACACCCCCAGCCCTCCCCTGGTATTTCTTGTTTAAATGTTGTTCCTTAGCTGTGATGTTCTGGGATACTAGGGTAGGTATCCCCCACAGGAGACAAGGCTGCCACGGGCTTCCAACAATGATACTTTCTGCATAATTCCTGGGTAATGGTCACATGGGCTCCTTTCTTCAGCCCAATTTACAGGATTTGCTACCAAACCTATACATTCTGTTCCACCTCAGGTGTGGTGGTATTGTGTTCCCCGAAATATTGTGCACCCTAATGAACTTATCTGGGGTCGGAGAAAGAACAGCCACAATGTTAAACATAGAGGATAGGCAGTGGTAGCACACACCTTTAATTCCAGCACTTGGGAGGCAGAGCTAGGCAGAAATCCATGTATTCAAGGATACAGCCAAGCATGGTGACTCACGCCTTTAATCCCAGAAAGGAGTCTTTAATCCCAGGGAGTGATGGTAGAAGGCAGAAAGATATATAAGGCATGAAGACCAGGAACTAGAAGCATTTGGCTGGTTAAGCACTCAGGCTTCTAGCAGCAATTCAGCTGAGACCCATTCTGGATGAGGACTCAGAGGCCTCCAGTCTGAGGAAACAAGACCAGCTGAGGATCCGGCGAGGTGAGGTAGCTGTGGCTTGTTCTGTTTCTCTGAGCTTCCAGTTCACCCCAATACCTGGCTCAGGTTTGATTTTATTAATAAGAACTTTTAAGATTCCTGCTACACCTCAGGTTCTGCTGGAGGCGTACAGCCAACCAGAACTCCCTGAGAAGTGTTCTGACTCTGAAAACCAGTGTGTACTGGTGGCTGCATTTCAAGGTGTGATAGTCCATCTTAACTGTCTACTGGATGGGGTTTAGAGTTGCCATGAACGGAGGCTTCTGGGCATGTCTGTGAGGAATTTTCTAGTTT